CTATGCTGGGGACGTTGACACAAGGAGATCGATAATCGGTTATGTATTCACTCTTGGGAGTTCTGTAGTGAGCTGGAAGGCAACTCTGCAGTCGGCGGTGACATTGTCTACTACTGAGGCAGAGTATATGGCGTTGACAGAAGCTTCTAAGGACTGTATTGCGACAGTTTGAGTGTAACATTCTTGGCCAAGGATCAAGTCCACCATGAGAGGACTAAGTACATCGATGTGAGGTATCATTTCTTGGGGACAGAGAAGAGGATTAAGGTGAAGAAGGTTGGCACCACGGATAATTTTGCTGATATGTTCACGAAGCCGGTTCCACATGGCAAGTTCCAACACTGCTTGGACTTGCTGAATGTCTTAAGTGGGTGACTCCGCCATGCGGGGCATTGATGGCGAGAGAGAGAGAGAGAGAGAGAGAGAGAGAGAGAGAGAGAGAGAGAGAGAGAAAGAGAGAGAGAGAGAGAAGGAGCAGAGTACATCAAAGATTTCAGAGGAAGAGGATTCAAGTCAAGGTGGAGATTTGTTGATGTGACTTGAATCAGACTATCAGCCGCTACGACTGGTAGTCGGGGGTCTCGCTGTGTATGGGCTCAATGTTATTTGGGTTCGGGTTCTGGGCCTGGTCTGTAACCATTTCCTTTGAAATATTGGATTAGGTTTAGACCCACATGGAGAAGTATTATAAATACTTCTCATACTCCTCTGTAATCAGTAATCTCCTCGATACAGTGAAACTAGCTCTCTCTCGCCCGTGGACTAGCTAACACACATCGTGTTAGTGAATCACGTAAATTGTGTGTCTGTGTTTTTCGATTTTCGCTTTAGTATTCTTGCTTTGTCGATTCCGGCAATTTTCCGATCCGTAGCAGCGCGTTTATAACAACTTCACTCCTTGCTCTTGGTATCTTCTCCGTAGCTTTGCTTGTCTGCAGAGAAAAAATGGCTAAGGCATGAAAGGGTGACCCATTGCCACATGACTCCCCCTTGTATGATCACCTCATGGCGGCGTATGTTGGTGACCCCCCTGACCACCTCATGGGGTGTAAGTTGATCACCACACCCTGATCACCTCATGGGGCTGTTCCTTGCCTTGGCCAAATTTGGTCAACCATCTCCAGACTTAACCAAATTTCTCCCAAGATGATCACCCACTGACTACCTCATGAGGGTGTATATTAATCCCACCCGCTAATCGTACCATGGGGGCGTGTGTTGATGGGCACCCCTGATCATCTCATGGGGGTGTATGTCGATCAACCCTTGACCATCTCCACATCCTGTGGGTGGCAGTGTGATGCTCAACCCCCTCGACACATCATGGGGTGGCTATATGCTACCCACCCCTCTTACCAAGTCATGGGGGTGGACAGATGGTGGCCACCCCACTCGACACCCCCTTTGCTCCCCACCCCCTTACCACGTCATGGGGGTGTAAGTTGATCAACGCTCCCTGATCACCTCATGGGGGTGTTCCTTGCCTTGGCCGAATTCGGTCAACCATCTCCAGACTTAACCAAATTTCACCCAAGATGATCACCCCCTGACTACCTTATGAGGGTGCATATTAATCCCACCCGCTAATCGTACCATGGGGGCGTGTGTTAATGGCCACCCCCGATCATCTCATGGGGGGTGTATGTCGATCAAACTTTGACCATCTCCACATCCTGTGGGTGGCAGTATGATGATCAACCCTATCGGCACATCATGGGGTGGCTATATGCTACCCACCCCTCTTACCAAGTCATGGGGATGGACGGATGGTGGCCACCCCCCTTGACACCCCCTTTGCTCCCCACCCCCTTACCACGTCAGGGGGGTGGCAATATGTTGCTCACACCCCTCGGCACATCATGGGGGTGGCAATATGGTACCCACCCCCCGGCACGTCATTGGGGTGGACGGATGGTGGCTACCCCGCCTCGGCTCCTCCGGGGGGTGGCAATTTGGGGATGTATCTCACGCGTGATGGCACGGAGTAATAGGCACAAAAACCCAATCCAGGTGGCTAATTTAAATTGTTATAATTATGTTGGCCTTATAAGGCCATTTAATCTCTTTTATCTAACTGATGTGGTACAAGATTAATTTTTGGTGTAAACAAATGCCCCTCAACTACTTAGTGCATAAGAATTATGGACTAAGTAGTTAACACCATTTATACCACTTCAAAGCCAATGATTAGCTTTTATCTTCACCAATGTCAAAACACTTACAAACTCGCCATACAAACTTGGCTTAGTCAAACTCAAAAGCCAACTAATAAGCAAATCTTCGCCTCTCTTTACCATTGACCAATCCTTCCTTTACCCACGTTTACACGCCACCAAACTTCGACCAAAACAAAAAACACTTTAATACTCTACCCATCCATGCAATATGTTTGGCATGGGTTAAATTTTCTTCACCCACCAACGCAATTCCCCTTCCTTGCTTAGTTGTTGTAAGCTAGGGAAACACTTAGTTAATTTGAATTTTCTCATTGCCATGCTTGGATAGAACTCGAAGTCTCCAATTTCTTATGGGACTAGATTCAACAAACTATTTCCTTATCAGAAAATATTTATAAGTCTCTTATCTATATCATCTTGCACCCCACAGTCTTTCTTCCATCTCAACACAACCGTGGCCCCCCATGCCACTAAGACCACCAAGACCCATGGTTATTTTGTAAATCACGTGGCATGGTACTCTATTGAAACTATTGGGGCCAACACAACATCATGCCCCCCTAGTTAATCCCAACTACTACTAATCATACACCATGCCAATCATCATCACCCCTTGTGTTGTCATGAGTGGTATTGGTTTATACCTAAGCAAAATTATAAGGTTTGGCATGATTAAGCCATCTTAATGCCCTAGCGGTATCAAGACTATGCCATCCCACGTCCCAAAGAGATGGGATGTAAGGTTTATAACTTATAAGTGGCATGGTGCACTCAACACATCAAAAGAGTGTAAAGGCTCCATGGACCCAAGAATTCACACTTATAACCCAATATGATGTATTAAAGTCAACGTCAACTGAGATTAGTGATTGAGGCATACCAGTCATAGCAAGATCCCCACATCGAAATCTATCAACTTTTACTCAAACTTGCCACTTCGACATTTTTTATATATAGCCATGATTGGTTTTTCTATATTAATATATATTTTTTTACTTATTACATATAATAAGTAGTTATAAACATCATTGATTCCCATACCCTTTGGTCATAACCAACGTGCCAAAGGTATAAACCCACTTCTAAGTCCATGGATTAAACCAAACAAGCCAACCATATATCATATGGTCATGGTTGTTCAGAGGAGATGATTCTTCACAAGTTGACTTTACATCATTTCCTTCACTATTTTTACCCTTCTGACCCTTGCCATCACTTTGGACTTTATCATGATTTCCCTCGTTAGTCACTATTACTTCGAGACCTGTGGCCATGGAGTTGTCCACCTCGATACTAGCTTGAACATCCTCATTTTGTTGTGTTGATCCCACCATTTCACCACGCGCTGCTGGGTATTGCCCCTTTTGTGCTTTGACATTCTTACGTAGGAATCTCCTCCTTTGAGTCATTGTCATCCTCTCAATAGCTACTGGTTGTTGATGATGCATGTCATATGTATGCCACCCACCTTGTGGCACATTGGGTGACTTGAAAGTCTTTTTCATGGGAAGAGGGCCATGTGCTACCCATTGCCTCTTTTTCCCCCAAGCCGGTTGAATGACCCCCTCTACTTGTCTTTGATAAGGTGGGTATCTTGGCCTATGGGGTGGACCAATTCTTTGTTGGACTAGTCGATTCGGTCTCACTTCATCGAGTCTAAAACTCCTTTTGCATTGGCCACATAGCTTCTCCACCTCACGGGACACCTTAGACGAGACCGAGTTGGCCTGGTTGTCCCTCGATGACTCCCCCTACTCGAACACCACATTGGGGATCCCTTGTTGCGGGGTTGTATCTAACACCAACTTGAAATGGGGAAGCTCAATCTTGGAAAAGTCTAGATTAACCATGTTAATACCAAGCACGTTGGGAAACGGGTTGGTATCCACCAGCATGGCATCCTTCTTTGGCTCAGGGAACTTGATGCGACCCTTCTCGATGGCATCATGCAATACATTTCGAAAACCAAACACGAGTCAGTAGAGTGCGGCATGCTATTATGCCACTTACATTTTTTCTTTCCTTTTAACTTCTCAGGGGGTGAGATGTTATGCCCCCCTGTCAACTTGATTTGACCATCTTTGTAGAGTTGGTCAAATATCAAGTCGGCTTTAGAAATATCAAAGGAATACTTTCGTGGCTGGATGGGGTCACGATTTGGCCTACCCCCTTATGGTTCATTGTCCATCTTAGCCAAAGGAGCACATACATATGGCTTCCCCGGAGTTAACTCAACCAGGTATACCTCCACCTCATTGACCTCTTGGCCAATATTGTTGACATGATAGCCGATGTTGGAGAAGTATTGCCCCCTAGAGGTACTCCTCCTATTCTCCTCTTCTTGAAGAAGAGATTTATATCTCACCGCACAAGACATGAGTTGGAACCAGTGGCGGACCCAGGATTCTCGTACAGGTGTGTCGGTCAATAAAATAAAATAAAATAAAATTTAATTATATTTTAATGTGAAACACAACGAGGAGTGGGATCAAAAGAGGTAAAGAGAACACAAGGGCCTTTTTATAAGATAGACAATAATAAAGAGCGATAGTCCATATGCAACCGGACTTCCGATGAATGAGCATTTTTTGTCACTAAGTGACAACTATGTGAAAGCTACAAGGATCAAGAAGAAACGAAACTTATTCAGGTAGAGAGAAAAAAGAGAAAACTTCCTTACGGTTACCCTTGCCTAAGACCTAATTAGAGCAATAATTCATTGAATCTAAATGCTTAAGCAATGGAAAGAACCCCAAATTTGTCATAAGTTAACTAAAATCTAAAAATAATATATATTTACATATATTGGGAAATTTATGACACCAATTTCATTGTAGTGTATTGAAGTTGTGTTGATTACAATTATTGAAGGTGTGTCAGAAGTTCTAAATTCCAAAAAATTATACCGGCAAAACATGGGTCTCTCACAAAATATTCGGGCTGAGGTGTGTCGCTTGACACACCTCCCTAGCACATGGGTCCGCCCCTGGTTGGAATAAGTCAAAAAATTTCCAAATCTTGGAATTTCTTTCTTAACTCAAAACTCAACCCCCCTTGTGCTAACTTGACAAACTCTCTTTCTGTCAAGTTGATAAAGCAACGGTTACGAGCATTCTTGAAGTTTGTCAAGAAATGCTCCACTGATTCGCCTGGCTCTTGGCGCATTCGTGCCAAGTCAACCATGAAAACCTCACTCTAAGATCTATAGAACTGAGCATGGAAGATTTGCTCCATCTGCTGCCATGTCTGGACGAAGTTGTATGGCAAGTTGACATACCAAGCAAAAGCAGGTCTTGTCAATGAGTTTCCAAATACTCTTAACTTAATAAAGTCTCATACATCTCCACATTGGACAGTGAAACGTCCAATTTGCTCCATAGTAGACTCGTCTCCTGTCCTAGTGAACGTGGCAAATTCTGGCAGACTGGCACCCTAAACCCCCTTGGGAACGGGTAGAGTGTATCTACCCACTCATGGTATGGTTTCCGATACATGGGTGGCATGGTGGGTCTCACTTCCATGCCGAATTGTTCAGCGAGAAGTTGAGCCACTTGGTCCCTTAGAGTGTTGGGATCATGCCCCCCTTGCTGCCCCCCTTGGGGTACGAATCGTATGGGATCCATGCCATACCCATTGAAATGGGGTGGCATGGGTGTTGGGTATGTTCTCGGAGGAACTTGATCTCCCCCTCCCAAGTGTGCAGACATCGTATAGGGCCTTGCCACCGGCATGGGTATGGGTGGCGGTTCCACTGGAGCAGAATGTGTGACTCCCAAATTCTCACCACGTGGGGGAATTCTCCAACTCCCGCATTGGGTATCCCCTCCACTTGAGTAGTGACGGGAATCTCGTCGTGATTCATGTCTTGAGGGGTTGGTTGGTTTGTCATCGACGGGGAGAAGTTATCTTGCCGTGGCTGACCATTCATGTCACCGACGGGAGATAAACTAAAATTTGCAGAAGTATTATTCGGGGCTTGATTCATGCTATCTAATGGCAGAGCTCTAGATTGAACTATTGGTGTGGTTAAAAACCTTCTAAACTCATCAAATCATTTTTATTTCTATTTCTATTAACCACTTCAAACAATGGACTTAAACGTCTCTCTACACGAGAATTGAGACAATCCATTTGAGAGTTTGCTTGATGAAAAACAGATCTGCTTGATGAAAAACAGATATAGCCTCCTCCATCATGCGAAGGTTCTCCACCATCATTTGGCGGTTCTCCTTTATGGCTTGACAGTTCTTTGCCACCAGCTTGCGGTTCTCCTCCATCATTTGACGGAGGACCACCACTGCTTCACCAATATCCCCACCAGGCGTCGCCGTCGGTAGGATCTCCGCCCTGCCATTGTTTTCGACCACCGCCTCTGACACTTGGCCATGTTCAATGTTGGCCACTTGCTCCTCCATAAAACCAGCCGGAGCTTCACCTTCTTGATTACTCCGCCTCGGAGCCATCAAATCGAACACACGTGTCCCACTAGGTGTGCCAATTTGTTTTCCCGGCGAGAAAATCAAGATGAACATAATTGAATTTCACCTTTTGACTTCCACACAAACGATTAACAAACACGGTTCACACCTCTTTGAACAAGGTTCAAACAAGGGCGTTCAATGTTCTTGATGATCTACGAGACAAACTAAATTACATTAAGTCTACTCCTATGGAGGTTCAGCGAGAGCTCCAAAACTACTACTATGACTAAATTTCTAGAGGAAAAGATAAAAGGATAAAATTTGACATTATGTTGTCTGGTGTGATTTTGGCGAACCACTCCTCTGTTGTCTTCACCTCCTATTTATAGCCACAAGAAGTAATTTCTTTCAAAAAACCGCTTTGTTGATGTGGAGTGACGGTTACTCTTTTCAACTGCTCCATTGATGTCGTGACGACGGTAGTGCACTTCTCTTAAGACTTCACTCCTTGCTCTTGGTATCTTCTCTGTAGCTTTGCTTGTCTGCAGAGAAAAAATGGCTAAGGCATGAAAGGGTGACCTAATTGCCACTTGACTCCCCCTGGCCCCTTGTATGATCACCTCATGGGGGCGTATGTTGGTGACCCACCCTAACCACCTCATGGGGGTGTGAGTTGATCACCACCCCCTGATCATCTCATGGGGGTGTTCCTTGCCTTGGCCAAATTCGGTCAACCATCTCCAGACTTTACCAAATTTCACCCAAGATAATCACCCACTGACTACCTCATGAGGGTGTATATTAATCTCACCCGCTAATCGTACCATGGGGCTATGTGTTGATGGCCACCCTCAATCATCTCATAGGGGTGTATGTCGATCAACCCTTGACCATGTCCACATCCTGTGGGTGGCAGTATGATGCTCAACCCCCTCGGCACATCATGGGGTGGCTATATGCTACCCCCCCCCCCCTTACCAAGTCATGGGGGTGGACGGATGGTGGCCACCCCCCTCGACACCCCCTTGCTGCCCACCCCCTCGGCACATCATGGGGGTGGCAACATGGTACCCACCCCCTCGACACATCATGGGGGTGGACGGATGGTGGCCGCCCTTCTTGGCACCGCTCTTGCCACGTCCTAGGGGTGGTGGTATGGTACCCACCCCCTTGCCATGTCCTAGGGGTGGTGTTGATGGCACAGAGTAATGGGCCCAAAAACCCAATCTAGGTAGCCCACTCAACTTATTTAAATTGTTATAATTAAGTTGGCCTTATAAGGCCATTTAATCTCTTTTATTTAACCGATGTGGTACAAGATTAATTTTTATTGTAAACAGTTTCTTCTCTCCAAGCCATATAGTATGGTTAAGGATCTCCGAACCCAGGGGCGGAGCTACAACAGCCTTCGGGGGGGGCCTCGCCCCCCCCCCCCCCCTCCCCCGAGAATCTCGAAATTCGGTATTAGACGTATAAACTAACGTTAACATATATAATTGACTGACGTGATGATATGAAAGCAATAGTTCACGTAGTCTAGTGGAAAACGGATGTGTGTTGTATACCACTAGTCAAGGTTTCGATCTCTGTGGAAAGCAATATTAGTTTTTACCCGGCTATGAAATGATGTACCATTCCCATTTTTTCACCATATTTTTTGAAAGCCGTTCATATTTGATTCTTAAATAATCAATTTAGACGCCCTTTAATTTTTTATTTCACCAAACAATTCGATCAAATGCTTAAACTTTCATATTTAGTTTGTTTATTATTTAATTTCAAATTTTTATTTAACAAAACAATTCGATCAAATGCTTAAACTTTCATATTTGGTTTGTTAATTATTTAATTACAAATTATGTCAATTAAATTCTTCGGTAAGATGATTTTTGAATATATAATGAATAATTTTCCCCAAATATCAATATTGGTATATATTGGCCTTTAGTTATTAGAATAGGTTACACCACACAATAATGAAATGAGTTAGTAACTTGTTTATAGTTTTATGATTTATATTGAATTTAATATGAATTTTTTTGTGCGCTCATAATAAAATAAAATAAGTTTTTGTTTAATAGAATTTTAGCGCTTTACCGTAACATATTAAGAGAACTCCGGCCCCCCGAAACCTAAATCCTAGCTCCGCCCCTGTCCGAACCGGACACGAGGTTTCAAACTCGGATCCAGTGGTTGAAGGAGAGTTGGACGGCTTCATCTTGAACTATCTCTCATCTTCCTTGAATAAAGATGACGAACACCAATAAACCTTTTTGAAAGAGTAGAGTAGTACCAATGAGGGTGTAGGGAAGATTCAAAGGAAGATAGTAATGTATTGTTGTTGGATAGATGATACTCTTGATGAATACTGATCATTTTGTCTCTAATGAACTCAAGTATAAGTTTCTCCACATGAGGATTTGTTCCATTTAATTCTAATTTAATACATTTGACATTTTCAATGATCATGTACTTCATCCTAATTCTTACCAATTAGGATCACATTAAGAGCCAATTACAACTTACAAGGCTTTACAACTTTTAAGCTGTGGGCTTCAAATGCCGAGGCCTCCATTAAAGGCTACAACTTTCGTTGTGGGTTCTATTTTGACTAGGGATGAAAGTTTGGTACAGGTATTTGGGATATACCGAATACCGTATCGAATTTCTCTATATTTGGTATAACCGAATATATGGGATTCAATTTCAATTGTTATTCGGTATTAGGGATTACATGATTGGATCAGTATATAGCGAAATACCAAACAATACTGAAATATAAGCTAATGTGTATTTTATGCTCTCAACTAAACTCTCTCATTCAATACTACACTACCCTCAATCACTAATCTATTGTTATTTACATAACATCAAAAAACAAACACTAGTATTAGTCTTCTCTGAGCCTCCAATTCATCAAATTAAAGATTACCAATGACAAAAACTTGAGATGTCACCTCTCCTCCATTCTCCTTATCCATATCCTAGCACTAGCCAAACTCAAGACTCTTTGCTTAGTCTCTTTGTCCTATTAAGCAATCAAATCTAATTAATTTCTTATTCGATAATACCGATTGGGATACCGAAGTACCGATTGGGATACCGAAATATTTAGGGATTGGGATACCGAAATTTTTAGGGATTGGGATTGGCATACCGAAATTATTTAGGGATTGGGATTAGGATTGAATTTAGGATGTAATTCGGTATTCGGTGTTTCAGTATTTGGTATTGAGATACCGATACCATACCGATTTCCACCCCTAATTTTGACGAACACAAAACCTCTTCCCGCTACTCAACTTCTCAGCTACCGTTGCCCGCCAAACGGTCAAAGGCAAGAGAAATGTGGGTAAAAGACATCGTATTAGCCTCTCCGGACTGTCAACTAGAGCGAGGAAATCAGATAAGTTCCCTTCTTCGCCATTCCCTGCAGAAAGAATCAGAAGAGTAGCAACTGGGTTGGGGAAAAAAACTAAAAAGGGAAAAAATTCAAAAAAAGGTTCAAAAGCGGCGCCTTTCATCGTCCACCTCGCCAATTCTGCGCGAACACTATTCACACTGCTGCGGGTGTTTGTGGCGGCAGACCCAGCTCGTGTTGGCGCGGAGTTTTGTTGCAGGTGCTAATTCTCTTTTCGTCCCCCTAAAATTGCTAGTTTCTTTTGAGGCCGAGGGTATTCGATCTTTATGTCCCCTTTTCTTCAATGGGTTTCGAAGGTAGGGAATTGACTGTTTTCCGGTGTTGGGTTATTTGTTGTTACTTTTTTGCCGATAGATAAGAGCGAGAAGATTGGCGGGAAGGACGAAAAGGAACCGAATTCATCCTTTCTAGGGTTCTTATTTTCTGGTTTTGTTGGGACATGGGAGGGTTCAGATATGCAGGCGTCTTCTTCTTCGTCGTCGGTGATATCTCCAGAAGACATTTTGGAATGTCTGATGAATGACGGCACCATTGATGCTCTCAGATTGAAGATCATCAATCAGCTCAAGGCCAATGTACACCCATCTCTATCTGAGCTCAGTCTTACATTTCAATTTGCTTTTCCTTATTAGATTTGTTTGAATGGGTTCCAAATATTTGAATTTCGGTTGGAAATGGAGGATTGCTTGCTGTTTGGCTTATGTTCGGTTGCATATTTGGAAAACCTTACTGTTAATGAGAAGGAAAAGACTTCAAAAAGAATTAGATTGTGTTGATTGTATGGCTAAAGAGATTCGCTCTTTTTTTCTGCTAAGCTAGTGGGGTTAAAATGTGCTCAGTTATAGTTTCTGGCCTCTTCTCGGTACACATGGATCTGGTGATTGATCGCTTACATCGAATGACATTATTCGTTCATGCTGTCGATCCTCTTTTTCTTCACATGGAATGGCCATTAATTCAATCAGGACTTGAGCTTTTTATTATGCTGATTGTCTGATTGGATGTCAATTTGATGCAATAAAAGGAATGGTATATTTGTTAGAACAATGAACTGTTACATGCATTGTCACCCTGAATGCGATCTGATCGCATCAAGGATTTTCTTTTCTCTAAAAAGTTAGCATTTCATCTGAACTTATATAAGAAACCATGATAATTCTATCTCTAGAGATTTAGCATTTCATCGGTACCCTTATTGGAACCCTTAATCGTGGTTTCTTTGCGACCATTAAATCTTTTGTTTAGTAGAACTAAGTGTCCTAGGAGTTAAGGCTGTTGATAAAGGTTGCATCTCGTTGATCTTCTGTTAAACTTCTGCATACCTTTTGCACTCCGAAAGCAATTGATTGTGTAATTAGCTTTAGCAAATATTCTTTTCACCGGAAGAGCTGAAGAATACAACCATAAAAATGGTCGAGCAGAGTAAGGTTTTAAATACCCCTGGCGCAGAGAAACAGACCAAGAGGGAACTATTTGATGCACTTCGATAAGAACTTGAGTAGGTATCTCGGTTCTTTTTATTTCCTCTTTCATTTCTCTGCTTGATGTTATTCATTCAAAGTTCAATCGAATCCTATTAACTGCAATTTCCTTGTTCTTTTCATTTGTAGAACTCCTGTGCTCGAGAATGCTTCGAAATCGGTGTGGGAACTGATTCTGGACAACAATGGATTGGGGAAAGAAATAAGTGAAACGGTTGAAAGAGTGTTCTGCAAATTAAGCGGCCAAGAGCCTCCATTGTTTCCACCTCCGAGTAATCATGAACCACAAGTTTCCAGGGACAAAGAGAATAAGGAAGAGATAGAGAAAGGAGAGGAGTTAACGATAGCAAGTATGAAGTAGAAATCTTTGTTGAAACATCCGAAGAAAAGGTGGCAAAGTGACATGAACATGAAGAAAGGTGGCGCCGCTAATGAGGTTGCAAGAAAATCAGTTGAAGATCGATGGAATAAATCTCCCCATTCAAAGACTTTGAACCTTGCTTAGAGTATAATGATATCATTTATAAGAATAGAGAATTTATTGATTTGGTACCTTCGCTTTCATAGAACATTTTTTACAGTCATAGTTTTTGAAGTCTTTCTGCAGAGAGTTTAGTTTACTTCTCAAGTGCAAACTTATGAGTTGAAAGATAATCTGTTAACATGTTGGAATTAAATTCAATTAGAGCCTATATGACATCCTCGCTACTTATTTGGGTGAATTATAAGCCACGAAGACTTAAACACGAGAAATATCTATCGGTAAACTCTTTCGCCGATTAAAATACCAATTTATCATAATAACTCAAATGATACCATATCTTACTTTGCCATTGTAACAAGAAAAGTTGAGATGAAATTCCCTTTATTCTGATTTGTTTCAGTTTCTGCATTGCATTTGAGAGATCTGCTCACTTCACTCTCAAGAGTACAATACATGAGAATCTCTCAAGATCCATTCTTAGAGCGCTCTCGAGGTTGTTACCCTGGTCAAACTGCATCATCCCAAAATCATCAAGATGGGGATACTCAAAAAACCTTGATTGCTGCTGCTGCTCATTCATTTCCCCACCAGTCGTAATCAAATCAGCAGCAGAGAGATCCTGACCAAAATCCTGTCGCGGCTGATTCTGCTGCTCATACATTTCTCCACCACTTATAATCAAACCAACAGCAGCGGGATCCGAAACAAAGCCTGCTGCTGATTCTGCTGCTCATACATTTCCCCACCGCTTGTATTCAAACCAGCAGCAGCGGGATCCGGAACAAAATCCTGCTGCTGCTGCTCATACATTTCCCCACCATTTGTAATCAAATCAGCAAGAGCGGAATCCGGAACAAAAACCTCTTGCTGCTGATGTTGTTGCTCATACATTTTCCCACCATTTGTAATCAAATCAGCAAGAGCGGAATCCGGAACAAAAACCTTCTGCTGCTGAAGTTGCTGCTCACACATTTCCCCACCACTTGTAATCAAACCAGCAGCAGTGTGATCCGGAAAAAAAACTTGTTGCTGCTGCTCATACATTTCCCCTCTACTTGTAATCAAACCAGCAGGAGCAGCATCAGGAACAAAACCCTGCTTCTGCTTCTGATGTTGCTGCTCATACATTTCCCCACCACTTGTAATCAAACCAGCAGCAGAGGGATCTGGAGCAAAACCCTGCTGCTGGTGCTGCTGTTCGTACAACATCTCCTTCGGACGAATTGCAAATTCAGCATAATGATCAATCTCCATATCCCCTAGGAGTTCCAATCTTTCCCTCATTAGGTAATCCTTATCAACGACTGAAGAAGGAGACCCATCCAGATCCGATACTGACCACTGAAATGACTGATGCTCATCATTTCAGCATCCAACAGGTTGTTGTTGTTGATCTGCCCATTCGATAAAGCAGGACCTGAGCTCAAACCATAATACATTCTCCGTGGTTCAGTACCAACAGGTTGTTGCTGTTGATCTTGTCATTCGACAAAGCAGCACCTGAGCTCGAACCATAATCTACAAATCTAAAAATAAATATAAGAGAATGTCAATCAAAATATTTTGCCACCTCAACCCGTGCTGCTTAGCCCACATACTTCGGATGGGTAACTTTGTCAATTCCTTCCCTGACTTCTTCGCCTAAACTGCTGGTGCAGTGCAGTGGTGCTATTTCCTTTCTTTCATATAATGTCAATAACCCACGTCAACAATTTAATTACAAATCACTATTTTTGTGGTACATCAAGAGGAGGGCTATTCAAACTGAATATGGGCAATTGAATTTATTTGTTTTTTTTAGTTTTCCCACTGCATCTTCCAGTTTCTTACTTCCTTTGCAACTATTCTGAAGAAACCCTGTTGAAAAGAATCAACCTTGATATAACCATAATCTCTTTAAGACCAAAAGTTTTTTCGTGGATTATATGATTGAGTCTATTTTTTCTTTCTTAAGAACAATTTTAGACATGTGTAGCTCTAATCCTCTCAATGTTGAATATAAATTAGAAAATATGGATGATATAATCAGCAAATATTAAAAGCGGGACAATGATAACCTATAAATCTCTTCTTATCAAAGAGGCGTTTTGATTCAATATGATGTTATAATTTTTAAGTTTTGTAGATTCATATGAAAGGGTATCAATAGGTTAATAGAAATTGGACCTTTCAATAGATTGATAAAAATGACGGGGCACAGGCAAAAGAGAATTCTGCTAAAAAGTGTCAGGGGCACAGGCAAAAGTGATTATTAATTAAGGGTGCATATATACATGCGGCCAGGCCACCGAAAAATTTGTATCTCAATCAGCCAGTTTCAAAGTCCAGGGTATTTATTTTTATCTATAAAATATATTTCACATAATTTTCCTTTAGTAGTAACTTTAGCACATGTTATTTGATTTATTTTATCATTAGCCTTATCTTACATAAAATTTATTTGTTTTTATCTTAAAATAATTTTTTTTTGTTCATTCCAAAATTTCAATTTAGAGTGTAATGAATGTTCTCATCCCGCATTATCATTAGGACAACCGTTAGAATTTGAAATCAATATTTTATACTCAGTTTTGTTGCTTTGCATTTTCACTAAATTGTTAATTGTAATGAATTTTTTTATTAAATAAAGAAATTTTAATTACTTGCACATGATCATAAACGAATAATAATATAACTTTAGCTGATTTCTAAAAGGAATTAATTGAAAGAAAAATGTATTGCCCGGCCAACCGGTTGGGGCCACAATCTAGTACATTCTCCGTGGTTCAGTATCCAACAGGTTGTTGCTGTTGATCTGGTCGTTCAACAAAGTAGCACCTGATCTCAAACTATAATACATTCTCCGTGGTTTAGTATCCAACAGGTTGTTGTTGTTGTTGATCTGTCCGTTCGATAAAGCAGCATCCGAGCTCGAACCATAATACATTCTTCGTGGTTCAGTATCCAACAGGTTGTTGTTGATCTGCCCATTCAATAAAGCAGCACCCGAGCTTGAACAATAATACATTCTCCGCGGTGCTAAGTACTGGTTCCCCATGGTGGAGGCTGTGGTTGCTGCTACTGACTTATTGGAGCTAACTAGCCCAACATTAGGGTTAGGTTCTGGCAGCATCTTCTCACCCCACATTGCAGCATTGGTGGTCATTTGCTCATATGAATGGGGAAAATTGCATAACTATGTTATCTCGGAAGAAAGTTGCAGGGAGAAAAGGAACAAGCTTTTTACTACATTGTTTTAGTACCTGGAATTGGGGATGGAGAGGAAAGTTGGGGGAATTGCTGCTGAGGATTTGGGTTTGTAACCGAGTTGGGGGTCGGGTTGAAATCGGGATACAGAGACGGGAAGTAAGGATCTTCGAGACTGGGGAATGGCTTGCTGCTTAGTTCAGAGATGTTTTGGCCGGCTTGTAGAAGACTCTTGTATGGCTTGTCTAGGTTCCCTGGTGAAAACACTATTTCATGCCTCCTGGAAAAGACGAAGAAAAGGATATTATGCCTACCCTTAAAGGGGTTGGTTTTTTGACACCCCCTTCTCAATTGGTCAATTTTTTCATTAATTATTGACAAGTATTACTGAAGGTAGACATAATAAATGTTCTATTATTAAATACAAAGTAAGCATTAAATACATCACATTAATTGCTTGTTTTTAAAAAAAAATCTAAACATATACAAAATACAATTCTCTCTCTCATCTTTGATCATTCTCACTCCTATCTATGATTCTTCCTTTCCTAGCAGCCTCCGACCACCACACTTCGCCGGTAAAATCCCGCCGACAGACTCTCTCCGGTCACTTGCAAAAATATACCACTGCACTGATATTTTGTACCACTGTATTAGTGCAGTGGTATAGCTACCAGTGCAGTGGTACAACATATAAGTGCATTGGTATATTTTTTGCAGGTGGCCAGAGAGAGTCTGTCGACGGGATTTCCACCGGAGAAGTGTGGCGGTCGGAGGAAGCCTGGTGGTCAGAGGCTGCTGAAAAAGGAAAAATCAGATATAGGGAGAGAGAATGTATTTAGTGTAGGTTTTAATTTAAAAAAATAATTAATATGATGCATTTAATTCCTATTGTGTATTTAATGTGTGTATTAAATTCTATAATTGTATTTAATACACCAGTGGTGTCATTTTTCCAATCCCTCAAGGGGGTTAGCATCCTAACCGATCCCGACCCCGTGGGGGTTTCTTCCCCAATCCAATTTCATGAAAGAGTAATCAGCTGACAATATCTTAAATCTTACTCTCCACTCTCCGGTAGGGGTGGGCGACGGGCGGATCAGATGGATTTTTGCTAGAAAACTAATCCATCCACTCCTAAACGGATTGAGAATTTTCAATCCGTCACCCACCCACCCGCATTTAGTATCGGGTTGGGTCAGGCGGATGATGAATGATGCGATTGGATTGGCGGTTTCACCCACAATATACTAAAAATATACGACATGTGTGGAAAAGATAAGAACAACAACGACTGTAAAAAAAGAAAAGGACATCCTCAGTTGTAGCTTGCAGGTTGCAACATCTAACTACAGATGCAGGTAAAACAGAAACATAGGTTTAGAAAAGAAATAAAAAAGCAACTGCATATGTAGAAATGTAAAACCAAGACAGCAACTATAGAAATAAAAAAATGTAGCAGCTATAAAACAGAAATGCAGCTGTCGAACTGAAAAACACAGTAGCTGTATAAATGCAACATAGATCTGTATAAATGAAAAACACAGCTGCATAAAAATGCAGTAGCTATTAAACAAACACGGATCTGTAAAAATGAAAAAGCAAGACATCAGTTGTCAAATGAAAAATGGAGCAGCTGTAGGAAAATAAAAAAAGACTGCAGTTGCAAAAAAGAAAAACGCAGTAGCTATAGGCAAAAGAGACATCAACAACTATTATTAATATCATTTACCAGCAAATAACAGCTGGTGAAACTAGTACATCAAGAATCTAAGAAATTAAAAGTATCCCAAAACAAAGAATTCCAAAAAGCTGAATAAATCTCAATCCTCATG